TATATATACATATATATATATATATATCATTGATGATAGTGCACAAATGCAAACCTAAGCACTAGAACTTGAAATTCTTAAGGAGCACAGGTCACAAGCTGCATTACATGATTTGAAACTTAACTCTATCTCTTATTGACTAGTGACTTTGGGCAGTTCAACTCTTCTGCGCCTCCAACTCTTTTTCTGAAAAATGAAAAAGATAGTAAGAGTACCCAGCAAAGTATTGTTATGCAAATTAAAACAGGTCATGTATATAAAGCAACGGGTCCACATGAAGCTCAATGAACATCAGCTCCCGACAGTATTATTGGCAAAGAAGAAGCCATAAAGTGCAAGTCCCCCACTCTCCCATTCTCCCTAATTCTCCCTCCTAAGAGAAGAGCTTCACCACACCCAATCAGAGGTGGAGGTGACCAACATTCAATTTCATACCTAATATACAATTACCATGATAAATTTAAAAATTTTCATTCAAATGGTACACTAACAAATTAGTTCCTCAAGCATGTTTTTTTTCATTTAATACATAAGACAATACAATTTATTCCATAACAGTTTTATGTTATTCTGACACAGTGTAGAACAACTGTTTTATGTGTGTTTTGTCTGCTTAATAAACTAACATTAATCTTAAGTTGAAGCTTAAGAAGGAGAATCAAGCCTGGGAAATTCAAATCCAATTGGAATGCTCAATTTGCAGTTTTAAACTACCATGTAGATTAGAAAATTATCATAATTAATGATCTTCTTTAATAAAAAAATTGTTATCAGGTAGATAAGAGGAATGAATTTTAAGATCTACAGAAGAGCAGAATGATCACGGTTGATAATAATTTATTGTATATTTCAAAAAAAATTAGAGTAAATTTCAAAAGTCTTACCATAAAACTGACATGTATATGAAGTGACATATATGTTAATTGACTGATTTAATTATTATATATTTTGAATATGTATATCTCAAAATACAACATTGTAACCTATAAATGTATACAATTATGATTTGTTAATCATGCTAATAATTAAACAATTAAAAATCAAACAGAACTAATCCAGTGGTAAGAGATAACCAATATTAACACATCCATATGAGGTCCTGTGGCCATATAAATCTCAGTGGATTAACACCTACTGACATGAAAGATACTCTGGCTAAATTGCCAAGGGGTAAGAATATGCTACAAAATATCTTGAACAAGGTGACTATGTCCCTGTGAAAATTCTGGTCTGATATAGTTTAGAAACCAGTGTCAATAGTAGTTACTTTTGGAAGACAAGCTTTTGAGGAATTTCCTTCTCTTTTTCATATACTTTCAAATTTTGCATGTGGTGTATGCCTTCATTTTTGTAATTATTAAAACACTTAAATATTTTAAAATGTCAATAATTGGGCAGACATTAATGAACATAAATAAATAATAATAAATAAATAGTATAGCTATTTATAAATAGTATAGCTAGAACTATTCAAGTACCATCCCTTATTGCTGAGTGCTCTTATTTAGTATTTGTTTCTCTGTGATCACATTAGTCCTTAAAGTGTACACTATATATACATATATACATATATATGTATATATATATATATATGTGTGTGTATGTATATATACTTTATATATGCATTAATATACTTTATACATATATACTTAATATATATATGTGTGTGTGTATTTATATATATATATATATGTATGTATGTGTATATATAAATTTTAGTGAACTTTAGGAATGTACTTCTCAAGCAAAAGATTGAAATAGAAACAAGGACTGTTTAGAATGCTTTCCAGAATCCATCCTCCGTACTCTTTTAATTAGAACAGGCTCAGGAGAGACATAAAAATAAAATTATTGACTCATCTGAAATTAAAGATCCTCATTGTGTTTTCTTCAAGAAATGCAGCATGACTCTTGTTAAATAATGATTTTCCCATTTTAATTACATTAAATTCTGCCTTCCTAAGTTCCTGCTGTCATTCTAATTAAAGGAAAATTTCTCATTTTTGGTACAGCAGGCCTATTTTGATACAGTTATAAAACCTCCACACAGTCTACCAGAGGTGTTTTGCACTTTAAAGTAGGTGACATTATTCTTTATTGAAAGATAAATAAAGTGCTTAAAATGCCCTGAAGGTGGTATGTAAGAAAAGACACAGATATACTTGCTTCATCACTTGACCTGATTTAAAAAAAAAATATATATATATGTACTTTAAAGTGCAAAACACCTCTGGTAGACTTTATTTATCTTTATTGAAAGATAAATAAAGTGCTTAAAATGCCCTGAGGGTGGTATGTAAGAAAAGACACAGATATACTTGCTTCATCACTTGACCTGATTTAAAATATATATATATATTTAAAATATATATATGTATATATATATATATTCCTAATTAAGCTAGTGCAACCATGCATTAATGCTTTAAAAATTTCTTAGGTATAGGTACAAAACCTTAGATATGTCCTTATTTTGTTTTTTATTGACACCTAATTACTGTACATATATGAGGTCTCATGAGATGTTTTTGTTTGTTTATTTGTTTTACCTAGTTGTATATTACAGAAGAATGCATTTCAATTCATCATACACAAATAGAGTGCAACATTTTAATTTTCTGGTTGTACACAATGTAGAGACACACCATTCATGCAATTAAACATGTACCTAGGGTAATGATGTCCATCTCATTCTACCATCTTTCCTATCCCCACAGTCCCTCACTACCCTTCCCTTTGCCCAATCCAAAGTTCCTCCATACTTCTGGCATCATAGATCCAAATCCACTAATCAAAGAAAACATTTGGCCTTTAGTTTTTTGGGTATTGGCTTACTTTGCTTAGCATAATAATCTCCAACTCCCTCCATTTACCTGCAAATGCCATAATTTTATTCTCCTTTAATGCTTAGTAATATTCCATTGTGTATATATAGCACAGTTTCTTTATCCATTCATCTACTGATGGGCATCTAGGTTGTTTCCACAGTTTAGCTATTGTGAATTCAGCTACTATAAAAATTGGTGTGGCTGTGTCACTATATATGCTGATTTTAAGTTCTTTGTGTGTAGACCAAGGAGTGGGACAGTGGGTCAAATGGTGGTTCCATTCCAAGTTTTCTGAGGAATCTCTATTCAGCTTTCCAAAGTTGTTGCACCAATTTGCAATCCCACCAGCAATGCATGAGTGTACCTTTTCCCCTCAACCTCTCCAACACTTATCGTTGCTTGTATTCTTGATAACTGCCATTCTGACTAGAGTGAGATGAAATCTTAAAGTAATTTTGATTTGCATTTCTCTAATTACTAAAGATGTTAAACTTTTTAAAAATGTTTGTTGATCACTTGTATCTCTTCATATGATGTTTTGATGCATGTAAATTTTGTGTAATGATCAAATTCGGTAAGTAGCATGTTCATCAATTTTAGCATTCATTATTTCTTTATAGCAATAAATCCTCTTTAAAAAGTTTCTCTTCTCATCGTTTGGAAATCTACACCATATTATCACGATCTGTAGTCATTCTCTTATGATATAGAACAAACATCTCTCTTTGAGATTTTGCCTTCAGAGTTCACATATGTGTGAGATCATCATCTTTCTCTGCCTGGCTTATTGCCCTTACTATCCTCCTGCTTCATCCATGTTGTTGAAAATTACAGGATTTCATTTTTTATTGCTGAGTAGTATTTCCTGGTCTATATATACCATATTTTATTCATGATTTTACCCACTTAGAGACACTTAGGTTGATCCCATACCCTGGCTATTGGGAATTTATTAGTAATAAACCCACAGTATAAATGTTTCTTTAACATATGAATTTCATTTCCTTTGGATATGACCCGTAGTAGTATTGTTGAATCATATGGTAGCTGATTTTTAAAGAATTTGTGAGAAAACTCCATACTATTTTTCATAATGGCTGTACAAATTTATCTTCCCACTGAAAGTGTATAAGAGATCCCTTTTATCCACATCATTGCCAACACTTGTTATCTTTTGGGTTTTGGACAATAGTCATTCTAGGTAGAGTAATATCTCACTGAGATTTTGACATGCATTTGTCTGATATCAGTGATGTTGCGCATTTTTAGATAAAAATGTTGGACATTTTGATGTTATGAGAAATATTTAACACGAATTTTTGCCCATTTTAAATCTATTTTCTATATCAATATTGTGTTATTTGAATTCTTTTTATGTTATGCAATTCAATCCCTTATCGGATATTAATTTTCACAACATAAATATGAGCAATGTTTCCATTTATTTGTGTCTTCTTCAATTTCTCTGATCAGTGTTTTATAGTTTCAATTCTAGAGATCCTTCATCTTTTTTATTAAATCTATTCAAATTGTAGTTATTTTAAACATCATTTTATTTCTATTTTGGATACTTCTAATTTTTGCAAATTGATTTTTATGCTAATCATAATGTGTTTTCAATAGAGCATTCAGGATTTTAGTATATAAGACCTTACAATCTGCAAATAGGGACAATTGTGTGTGTGTGTGTGTGTGTGTGTGTGTGTGTGTGTGTGTTTCCAATTTGGATGCCTTTTGTCTCTTTCTCTTACCTAATGCTCTGGCTGGAACTTCCAGTGTATGTTGAATAGAAGTGGTGAAATTGAGTCAGACATGTTCTTGAGAAAACATCAAATGGAGATAGACACCATTGTGGTCTTCCTAGTAGCTTTTCCTCCTTTTTTGCTAAGATGTTGAAAGTTCTATACAATTACTCAAGAAAGCCCATTATTCAAACTCGAGGGTGATATTCTAAGAATAACAAACTGGATATCCTGTTTGACTCTGACTGCATGACTTCATTCAATTAACATTTTAAGCAATCAGCATTAGCAAAATGTGAAAATAAAAAACATGATGAAAGGATACAAACTACAAAAAGAAATGGCTCCTGCTCTCAAGCAAAATAAGCCTGGGTTAGCACAAGATGAACAATCAGAAACAGAAGTGTTTTATATCGAGGGAGAAAATAGAGACAATGTAGAGTTAAAAAAACAAGAACCTAAACACTAGAACAGGCATTCAGTCCATTTATATTTTCATAAGTGTACTTTAAAAAGACATTTGGAGCACTGACATAATCAAGCCATTAAATGGATATCGCCAATACAAAGAACTAACAAACTTTAACCAGCGTAGTAGACAATACTACATATGGAATGACCTTAATAGAATGTAACATGAGATATATGGAAGCCATAAACCAGAGATAAAATTAATTTGTTGTAGAACTCTATAAGAAAGAGTGAATTTCAACCTAGAAAGTCCAGTCAAGTTTCATGAAAATAAATATCACATGAAAAATAATAAACTTATGCTGAAGATTTATTTCACTCAATATACTTGTGTCCTATCTAATGTAAGTCCAATAAGCCTAATCTAAGTTTTGGTATTAAAATGAACAACAGTAGCAAAAAAATGACAAAACAGCTATGGCCCTAGGGGGTTCTGTATCAAATACAGGAGGAGAGGACATATATAGTTAATAAGAAAGGGTGTGCTTAGCAATAAAATTGCAATATATTGTGGCGTAACTCATACCCCAGACCAAAAATGATTCCCATCTTATGTCCAAGTGAATAAAAGATGCATATTTGGACATTTTGAAGGATGGTAGTTAGAGAAAAATCATTTATTAAAAGAAATAGAGAAAATGATCAGTAATTATTATGGAGATTTGAGATTCAGGGAAAGAATTATCAGAAAAGATCATTCTAAATTTTTTTTTTAAATTTTGATATATAGTGTAAAAAATCTGTCTTTCCAATGAACCCTCCAGAAAAAAAAATCTATCATGCTTATCAAAATTATTTTTGGACTTAAGGTTTTGCTGCAGATGTCATAACATGTGCTGGGAAAGGCTTTCGATACGTGAAAGTCATAGCCCTCAAGGGTCCAAAAACATTCAGGTGACAATGTCCTAAGGAAATTTCAAATTACTGAGCCCCAAATGCAACTTCTGTCTCTGTTCCCTAAAGCTAATGGTCCTGCTGTGTCCCAGTGAAGGGTACTGATGGTAAGCAGATGTCTCAAGCCAGCAGCCTGAGCATCATCCTTGACATCTCCTTTCTCCTTATTCTCTAAGTCAGTAAAGCGGCTTCCAGGCAGCTGGACACCATATCATTCCTCTGATTCTGTTCCCTTCTATCTATCCCCACAGCATGAGATCATACCATCGCTGATTTACCAAGAATCCCTGTGTTATCCTCTTACCTGTATAGACCAACCCCATCCTCCCCTCCAACCTGTTTTCCGTATTGTACCATAGTGACCCTATGTCAGATTGTGAAGAGGCAAGGGAAATAATGAATGAGCTGGCAACATAGACTATGGATACGAAGTTGGAAACAGAGGATCTGAACATTGATTTCAGAGATGGAGCTAGAGGCTTCAGTAACAGGTCAACAAAACTGATTTCCCCAAGGAAATACAAAGACTCAAAACAAAAAAAATTCAGATCCATGTTCAAGTTTTGTTTCTCCACTCCACACCACTTTGTGCCTAAAAATGTACTCTTGGTCTTCCTACTGCATACCACTAAAAAAAAAAAAATTGTTCCCTTTCTTTATTATTTTCAAATTAACAAAGGATATATTAAATTGTCTAGGGAAAAATAGCATACTTAAACATTATTCAAATATTAGGTACTAAAATGGGCCATCAGCATGCAGGGAAGAGAAATGTCTTTTTTGTTCTGAAAATAGTGTCAATACAGAAGTATTCCACTGAATTTTTGATCAATGTGGCAGGGATACAAAAGCATTCATATTAACTCCTTACTGACCACGCCACGGATACTTTGCCTAGACAGTGGGCTAACAGACACTAAAAGTGATGTTTTCACCTGCTACCTTTGGGGCACATCGTTGGAAATGTGAGAGCACTGAATACTAAACCCCATGAAAGAGATCTCACTTGCACTCGTGGCTGATGTCACTCACATCCTTCCCAGGGAGGGTGGACCTCAAAGCACATGCTCAGCCAAAAGCTAGAGCAGGCCTTTGAACCACTGTATAGTAACAAAGAAAAGAAAAGAAAAACTCCCACATTTCATGATATCAGATGGAAAAGAAACACTGCAGGAAAATTCTCCAAGTCATGAAAAAATCCAGAAAAAGAGTCAAGGTGCAAAGTGGAATGCGATTTCCCAAAGGAAGAAACTAGGTTTCGGAAAACTTTGTTTTCAAAAGTCTTCTCGCAGAGGACTTGAGTCAATGTCTTATTTTATCCAAATTGGCTTTCACTCCTACAACTATTATTAGAGTTGCTGAGTTTTGCTTGTAAGTGTTGTAGGTCCTGTGGTTTCCACATTTTGTCAAAAAAAACAGAATCACCTGAAAATATTTCAGTGGTTGAGATGTGCAATGAATCCAGCCTTCTGTTGGAATGCTCCTTTGATTCTGTTAGCTTTTTGTTCTACCTTCCTGCTGGTTCTTGTCTCTCTTCTCTCTAATTCTGAATGTGGTTAGGAGAAAAGAAAGGCAACATAAAAGTCTATTTTGGGGCCAAATAACACCACCCATGACTAACCATATACTGTATTTGTGACTTTGGACATTTTTATCATTGCCAACTTCTGTGCCCACAAATTGCTGCTACTAAATAAGAAACTTCCACTTTATATATGTATGGCCTAAATTCAACACATTGATATATACATTTTCTTTTCGCTGTAACATAGGAGGCTCTCTTATTGCTCTCCCCTTTTCCTTCCTTCTCTTTTTCTTTCTCTCTGTATTTTTTTCTCTTCTTTCTTTCATTGAAGGAAACTGAAGGATAATAGTAAGTTATCAACAGCAATTTATTTTTAGAGATGTTCAAGTTACATCTACTTAAAGCTGTATGGATAGAATGAGTATGATTTGGAAATCGAACATAAATAAGACCAGCAGAAATCTCTGAAATTGCAGGGTAGAATGTCATTTTAGGATTGAAATGTGGAGAAAAATGGGGAAGCAAGATGGTACTGCCACAAACAAATGCAGAGGTTAAATGAATTGTTATTTCAAATCCTACTTGGTCTAAGATAATATGTTTAAAGAAGTAAATGATGAACTTGACCTTTTGTCTCATTTTAAAAATCATATGCAATTCCCTAGAAGGGAAGAGTCCTTCTATCTTACCAGAATGAAAGCAAGATTGGTCATGAAATGAAATGATGAGTGAAGCTCTAAGTTGGGATGAAACAGGGTAGGCAAAGTCAAACGTGTAGAGTCAATACGTCTTGGAATTTGGAATGAAAATATTGAAGTCACTTAGTGACTCAGGCTCCTATCATACCACCTAGCAAGAGCATACTCTGTTTTGAAAATGGGTCTTAGCAGCTTAAGCTTGTGGTGATATAGCACGGATTTATGTCTCGGATTTTACATCATTCATAGGGCTGGGTAGGAATGTAAACTGGAGTGTCTGGTTCTACATCTCATTTTGATTTTGTTGTTCTTGGCCCTGAAGTAGCTATCTAAGGTGGTGGAGAGGAACTGCCCTGACTCTACACCCACAGGCATGGAGATAAACAGCATTTTCAAGGTGACTCCCACAGAGGAAGGTGAGCCAGAGTGTACACCTGGGATCCTTCTTCCTCAACATCCCAGATAGACTGCCTTCTTTACTGCTGTCTGAGGTCAAGCAACTCATCATGGAAAATTTTCTGTGGTACTGTTGAAGGCCGTATGAGGCACATTCTGACATCCTTCACTTTTCCAAGGTGGGTACCAGAGATGAACATATGGTTGCCAGTGTCTGTGGTGGTTGTGTAGAAGACAGACAGAGAGAGGTCCCAGCACTGAGAAGATTAAAAATAGGAAGGAAGAAGTCATCAAACTGGGCCCTGAAGAGGAGACACCTTTAAAACTCCAATCTGCCTGTTATGGCTGTCAGGCAAGGAAAAAGAGAGTCCAAACACGGATAATATCGACAGCTGTGAGGGAAGAACAGTTCTCATGGATTATTGCTGGAGTATCCCAAAGTCAATTTGACTCTAAGGTTTTCAGTTGCTTGTCCACATACTTTGATGGAATACGAGCCCTTTGCAACAGGATTTTACAAAGGACCATTTTTTTTTTTTGAGGATTTAAAAAATAAACAGAATTGCCTGAAACACTGGAGTGGCTTCCTGTGCGAATTTTCAGCTTAATAATTCGTACTGGTGTGAAAGAGAAATCTGTTTCTCTTTCCCTGAGATAAATATCCATCTCGCTGGGCTCTCATCTGTTCTTCTCTCATTATGTAGCAAGCTTTTAGAGATCATTTCCTATGCCCAAATAACTGAGCTACACAGAAGTAATGCACTTGTGTTTCACCCCCTTGAGATTTAGTGGTTTTATTTTTATGACTGAGGTTACTTGTTCTCACTTTGATATTACACTACAGATGATTTAAAGGCAATTACTACACAGTCTTTGAGATGCTTCCAAAATTGACTGGCCATTGGCAAACTCGGGATACTTTAATCAAGTGACAGAGTTGAGTATCCTTCATTTAAAATACATGGGTCCAGAAATATTTCAGATTTTGGAATATTGTTATATGTAACAAGATACTTTGGGAATGAAATCCACATCTAAACCCAAAATTAATTTATGTTTCATAGACACAATAGCCTGAAGGTGACTTTATACAATATTTTTTAAATAACATCACAAATGAACCAAAGTTTGTATATGTCAAAGCATCAGACTTATGGGGCAATGTACATCCTCAAAAACTTTCAGAATGGAAGCATTTTGGATTTTAGGTTTTGGATTTGGGATGGACAACTCTATCTTATAATGTGACTCACAGTCTGAATAACAAGATCCATGACCTTCCCAAAGTAAGAAAGTGTTTACCACAAAGAAGCAGACTATTCAAATATGATCTTTATAATTGACCTAAACTTTCTATTAGCAGGACCTGAAGGAAAAGATTCATAACCTGCCCTCAAAAAATTGTAATTACCAAATAGTTATGAGCCAGCTAATAAACACAAGATAATAAAGAAATAGGCAAAAATGTTGAGAGAGAGCTTCTGAGCAGACCTGGAGACCAGGATCCAAGTGTCATTAGTTAATCTGTGATATGATTCCAGGAGAGATTGGCAGGGAATGAGGACACAAGACAGGGAGGAGAGGACGTTGGCACGTAGGCACTACCGGGTGAGATCTCTGCCAGCTACTGGAGCAGAATCCCTTTTGGAAATTCCAAGAAAAAGCAAAGAGCACTCCTTGGAGTAGGCCCAGCTGAGCTGCTGCTTGCAGGGGGCATTGACTGTGCAAGCAAGGAACACAGATCAAATTTCCACATTGGAAGAAAAAGAAAAGAAAAACAAATGGGGAAGTCAGGGAGGCCCGGGTGTTTTCAGGAAGTCTTGTGCTCACATAGGGGTGACTGCTGAGGGCAAAGCATGGGGCTTTAAGAGCTTCTCCCTAATATAGACAAGACATTGTGGAGGAAGTGCTTCTGGTAAAGGTGGAGGAGTGGGCTCTTTCCCAAGAAACCCTGACTAACCCTACACAGGGCCTGGAGGAAAGACAGAACGGACAATGAGACTTACTTAACCAACCAGAAAATGGTACCTTGTAAAGTGGTTCTGTCCCAAAGGAGAAATCGACCCCATCTTCAGAGCACAGAACTCAGGTGGCTGGGAGCTTCTATCCAGGATCACCGCAAGAACTGGAGAAATCGAGGCCCGGGGTGAATAACGATTGCTGCAAAGCTCATGAAGAAACAAACCCACACCCCTGAATATCTTCCTTTTCTTATCTCCTTCGGGGAAAAAAAAAAAAAAAAAAAACTGGAGCTACATTGTCCAGAAGTTGAAGTTTACCGGTTTCTGTTTGGGGTTAGCCTCCCTATTCACTGGCAGTTAGAACTTGAGTGTTAAGGAAGGGCCCCAGGGAGAGCTAATCAGCCCAAGAGAAACTGGTAAACCAGGCTGTCAACTCTGACAGATCCACAGCAGAGTTTCCTCGATGTCAGATGTCAGTCGAGGTCACTCTTCAGTCAACCCAAGCCCCACCTGTTCTACCCACAGCTGGCAATTCACATCCTAGGCCCCATCTCAACCAGGTGAGGATGATGAGAGGTTAAAGAACATTTTAGTTCCTACCATGGAAGTGCAAGACCGATAAGTGGGAAGAAGAGGAGGAGGAGGAGGAGGAGGAGGAGGAGGAGGAGGAGGAGGAGGAGGAGGAGGAGGAGGAGGAGGAGGGGGAGGAGGAGGAGAGAACAAACCCAAGAGGAAGAAGGGAAGCAGATGAAGACACAGAGAAAAGCCTAGAACACCAGAGATGAAATATAGGAAAATAGATTCCCTTAGGTGATGATGAAAGAAGATTCCTGGAGGAAAATTGTGACCTGTGTGTAGAAGACCACGTGTCCCCACTGAAGCTGTGTCATTCAACAGGAGGCCATGTGGGGGACCGTCACCATGATCACTTCTACTGTCTGTCTTTCTCCTCTCCTCCTCCTTCTGTTTCCTCTTCCTCTTGCTCCCCTTCTCCTCCTCCTCCTCTTCTGTGTTTGAGCATTTGCTTCAGTTCCTCCTCCTCCTCCTCCTCCTCCTCTTCCTCCTCTTCTTCTTCTTCCTTCTCCTGCACTTTCTCCTTTGCTTTCCTCCTTCTTCTCCTTCGTCTTCTTCTGAGTTTCTTGAGCATTTGCTTAAGCAAGACCAGGGAAGTACTTTTAAAAATAAACACAGGTGCAGAGTAAAGAATCGGAACCCGGTCCTGCTTTTGTCCTATGATCTTTGGAGGTAGTCTACACCATCCATCCCTTTAGGAGTGTCTTTATTTTGGGTGGTAGCTGGCCACACTCTACAGTTCTAGGGTAGAGGCTGTACCTTTGACCAAGACCATCCTTCCGATTTAGGGTGAGCACATCGGGTCCCACAGCATCAGCTGACTTAGAGACTGAGTTCCAATATGGTCGATCCATCTTCCAATCAATCATGCCCACAGAATGAGGCCCCAATAAAATTTCTGACACACAAGCTAACAGAAGCACTCATGGTTAGTTATACTCCATGCGTATTGTCACATGTTGATGCCAGAGAGTGGCATGCCCTGACTCCATGGGGAGAAGACAACAGAAGCTTCATATGTGGAAACTTCACAGATTCTATGTGTCTCTCCCCTAATCTGTATCCTTTTGTTTTCAGTAATAAGCAGTAACCATGGGGATAAAAAATTTTAGTGAGTTCTGTAAGTCTGTATCACAGATAATTGAGTCTGTGGGTGGTTTTGGTTGAATTGGAAGTAAGTCCACGGGATCATGTCCTCAGAATTACAATGTGGCTAACTCTGGGCACATGAAATCCTAGGAACAGGGAATTTATCCTAAGATAAAGTTAGGAGTATCCTAGATTCACAGAGAATCAACATGCTCAAGTGACACCTTCACTGAAGGCCAAGCGTTTTCAATACTGAAAATAGGACAATGGAGGGGTCCCTGGAGGATGTCTCCAAATGGGAAGGGAAAGGATGAGATTATATTTGTTGAAATTGGGTAGAGACTCTCTCAGAAACTATGCAAAATATTAATAGTAGATTCAAATAAATAAACAACAAGAAAGGAAAAAAAGGCAAATGCCAACTTTAAGGAAAACAGAGAGTAAGAAGAGGAAAATGTAATCCCAGCACCCCACACCACAGTGCTGAGGTGTGCATCAAACAAGGTATAAAACTTGAATAGCAATTGAACCTAAAAATCATCCTGTATGGAGAAGAAGGGAAAGAGAAGCCCATATGAAGATATTAAAGAGTGAAAATCTCATATTTGGTGACAGAAGTCAAAAGATAACACCTCAAACTGATAAAGGCAAGAAGAATTATTTGTATATATTACAGAGAAAGGTGAGAAATATGAGATATATAAAATGCTGGATCTAGTAGCTGAAAGAGTTGCACAGAAGGGATGGAGGAAATAGAGATGTAGTGTTGACTTCTATGTTTTCATTTGGTACTATCTAACTTTTAAAAATACATGCATGTATTGTTTTGATATAAAATTACTAATTTAAAAATTGGATAGCTTTGAGGAAAGAAATTAAACCAAGAGGTAATAATTATAAATCTTGTTTAAATTATATGATTTAAATATGAAGAAGCTTAATGTTTTTTGTAGTTCAGAGACTTAAATTGGAAATCTGTAAGGAAGAGTTGACTGAATTAAAATTAGAACATTATAATGGTTTTAAGCTTTAATTTTAGCTTTTTAAACACAATTACTAGATTTCTAACATAGTTTCTCTAAGTTTTCTGTGCACTTATTTAACCATTCCAAAACTAAAATAATCTAAGCTTTTAAAATTGCTAAAGGTAATGGTTATCAAAACAATATGCAAAAACAAACTTAAATCAAACTTGAATGCATTAGTTAAGTGTATGAAGCATGAAGCATACCAACTTACAACTTCCTTTTTCTGAACTTGGATTTCTTTGTCATATGTCATATTAACCTCTTCATATTCTGAAAATTCAAATCCAGTGAGTCTGTAAATATGGATAGTGTTCCGATTATGAGTCAGGAGCTGGGATGGCTCTGTGGCTACACTGTTGCATAACTTTGTATGCAGAGATCATTTTTTTTTTTGCAAATTAATTGTGATAGGTGCTTGCAATCTAGGAGGGAGATAAATACTAAATAAAGGAATAAACAATTGAAATTGGTGTTGAGAACTGAGGAGGAAAATTACAGGGTGCTAAGAGGAGCAGTAGAATAGATGGACAAATTTTTTACTGTGGACCCAAGGAAAAGCCTTCCTGAGTAATGAGATATGAGGTAAGAATAATCCTGAACTAGGTAAAATGTGGGGGAAAAAAATAAATAGTTCAGAGATCAACTTTTCAGAAATGTCCTAAGACATGAAGATTTGAACATGATTAGGAATGAGACAGAAGGGCTGGGCCCAAGTGAGCAGCTGGAAAGCTAGAATGGGAGGGACCAGGAGCAAACAGAAGGACAGCCTTGTTGCTTCATGAGAGCTCTGCATCATGAAGCCCAGAGCTGAACAGTGGTAAGTGAGAACAGGAAGGAAAGAAGGAGCCCAAACAGGGTTTGGCCTCATCTTCGGAAAACTCTCAACTCCTTGAAATCAGGCCTCTCCTCACATTTCCCTTCTCATCTGGTGCCATAATGTCTCCAGCTCCTAGAAGCCACCATTGCCTTATTTTAGGTGGTTGGGAGCATCCCTTTATAGAGTTGGGAGCTTCCCATATAGGAGCCTTCCCTCTGCCTGGAAAGTTCTTCTCTTTCCCCTTTCTGTCGATCCCAAATATTTTTTTAAGGCAAGGTATAAAGTCTCCTTCCTCAGAGTAGTTTTTCCTCAGCTCTTAATACAAACCAAGTTCTGCTTTATCCATGCATCGTTCAGATTTTCCTCATGGAACCTGTCTCTGTGCCCCATTTATACGCTTCTGCTAAATGGAAAAACAATTATCCGTGGCATCTAAAGGGTCAGGATGACTCTTAAATGTGAACCAATAAACCTGATGTACAGTTAGGGTTTGGTAAATTAGTCTGCATTTGAAAGAAGCCCCCAAAGAATAAACAGATGCTGTGCTATGCGAGAAGGTTCCGTTTAAACCACTTTTCCACTCTGCGATGTTGCAACACACCCATAGAACCACTGTGCTACTATTCACTTCAATTACAGTGTTAGATAAATGACATGAAATATTCAACACTTTGTTATAAAATAGGCTCTGTGTTAGATGATTTTGCCTAACTTAGGCTAATGGAAGTATTCTATGGTGGTCAGTAGGTTAGGGATGTTAAATACACTTTCAACTTCTCCGTGCATTTATTTAATCATTCCAAAACTGAGATGATTTTAAGCTTATCTTTTCAACATACAATGGGCTTATCAGGATGTAACCAGATTATAAATTGAGCATCATCTGTGTGTTGTTTTTATACAAAGTTTTAAAACATGCAAAACTTTCTCTGCTGTTGAAAGTCAATATCATGGTGATGGTCTTCGAGAAGGTGGGAAGTGACTGGATGACATCTCTGGGGTTTTGAAGATGTCCTGCTTCCTTTCTGCTGGTTGCCTATAGCAGGATGTTCACTTTGTGCTAATTTATCCTTGAGTTCTACACTTGGGATGTGTACCATGGTACTGGTAAGTTAAAAAGCTTTGAAATTAGCTAGTATTATCATGGACATAATTTGTAATTATGTATTTATTTGCAGAATTATATACTTGACTACAGGTTCCATGAGGACAAGAACTATAGCTATTCCCTGCACAGCCTATACCTCATATAATTTGTGAAACAAATCAGAACACAAGCCTAAATCTCCCACTCTTCTTTCTAATCAAAACTATCAATCACTTCCCATTTCTTCCAGATTAAAAGTCTGTCCTGGGAATGGGTATATATCTCAGTGGTAGAACACTTGCTTACTAAGCAAGAGACCCTGGGTTTGATCCTTGATAATTAGTACCAGGAAGATAGATAGATAGATAGATGATAGATAGATGGATAGATAAATCAATCGATCGATCGATCGATCGATCTTACCAGTCCTTAGCTGGTCTTGACACCAAGTGCCTCTCTGATTTAACCTTTAACACTTCTATTTCATTTACTACTTTCTAGCCAGACTTAGAGTTAGCGGTTGGACCTACACTGTTAATGTAATAAATTCTTTTAAATTTTCTTTTTTTT